AGCTCCTGGGGCAGATGGCATTCCTTCAGAATTTTTAAAGCATAGCAAAAAAGCTGACATACTGTATGTAAAATGGTAGACATGATCTGGAAGCAAATAAAGTTGCCAGAAGACTGGAAAGTAGGTATAATTGTACCTATCCACAAAAAAAGGAGATCAAATAATATGTGACAACTACAGAGGAATAACCCTCCGGGTTTGTTTTGCTTACCCTATTCCCAGCCCAGCAATTTCTGTCCCCAATTTTCAACCCCCTATAAGTGATCCCAATGTGGTAGGCAATATAAACCGCCAAATTACATAACCACACTGTAAATATTATTGTATATTTAATTATATGTTTCTGTAAATTATTTATTTATTTATTAATCACTAAAAGAATTTATTAAGCTACTTCAAATGTAGCTGTAATTCTGCACCTATATTTTAAAGCAAAACTAACATTTTACATTACTGGCATGTGTTCTTCGCAGTGGCGGCTCGTGGCTTGAGAGACATGGTCGGAAAGATATTTTTTGTCTCCTCAGAAAGGTATACCGTCTAATACAAAGACTTCAATCATCATAGGATATTTTTTGTTTTTTTTTTGTTTTTTCCTATAAATTTAGAACCTAAACATGTTTATTGACATTTGAGACAAGCTTGATATTCTCTCTTGTTTCATAGTGTTTCGACAATACGTTTTGATTCTTTTAAGATAAGAGAAATCTCGTTCATTTGAGGCAAACATTGGTGATAATGAGAGAATTAATGACAATATTTTATTAATTTCGGTAACAGTTTGTTGTAATGAATTGCAGTATATAATTTTATACATATCTTGTAACTTATTCCAACTTACGAAAATATTTAGATCAGCATATAAAACTTTTAATTAATTAATTTCATTTAAGAATGGTGGATAATTTTTAATTAACCTGTCTAATAAATATCTTTGAAATTCTTTGTTCTATCTAGATATGTCTAGAACCAAATGTCTTTTGTCTAAAACCAAACCTAACAATGAACAAGAAAGGACAAAGAATTGTATCTATAAAATAACTTGTGAATGCGATCAGTTTTATTTAGGTGAAACATCAGGGCCATTAAATGTTAGAATAAGTGAACATCAATCTTATATTAAAAACAGAGAATTTGATAGATCTCAAATATGTAAACACACATGGGATAATGAACATAATGTTCAATGGAATGATTCAAATATAGTCCTAAAAGAAACAGATGGTAAAAAGAGAAAAATCAAAGAAGCGGCTCTAATTATACTAAATGAGACCAATTGTGTCGCAAATTCCTCGGCATAATGTAGTAGGGTCTGGTTACCCACATTAAAAGAGGAAGTTGTTAAAAGGAAAATATCAGTATTAGTAAGTCAGTAATGTATAGAGGATACATCATTTATGTTTTTTAAATAACAAACATATATAATCAGAATTTGGTGTTTATTGAAAGTAAACTAAATGCACGGCCAAATACTTACCATGTCGGGATAGTATTATGAGGTTTTTTTCCTGGTTTTCCCTCATAATTTACTATGGAATCAATAACTGGAGAGTTTTTACTGCCATCATGGCATGTTTTTGTCTTTTTAAAGACGAATTACATGTTATGATTTTTTTCTGACGGTTATTCTTAAGTTAAAGTTGATTTCATGTAATCGAATGAACTATCTTACAAGTAAAGTCGTCCCAGGAACGCAACTCAACAATATTGGCAATATCATTTTAAAGTCGTCTACTTTAAAATGTATAATGTATGTCTGAATTATCAATATAAATGAGTCAGATAATATTAAATAATTTTATTAGTAACAAAAAAAAATTGTTTAATTTAATAATGTTTGTATTTTGAGAACGATTTCCAAAGTGGAAATTGAAACGTCAATAAACGTACTTTAACTTTTAATTGTGGATTATTCCCATTTAAATAGTAATTACTTTAATAAATACTTTAGAATCAATGATAAAACTTCAGTTATGATGAATTATTCTTAGAGAAATGAATGTACTTGAATCACTTCTAATACAGTAAATATAAAACACAACAATACTGTGACATGTATGTGTAGAATAAGAATTTGGACGAATAAACAAGGAAATACAAGAACACACTTAATAAAAATGACAAATCTATAAATGTGTTGACTTCATATAAACCAATGAAAGTGTGTGACGTTTCAATTTCTTTAATTTTGAAAGTTTTAAAGAAACTGCACTTTCACGTTAACCCCATGTGTAGAGATTATTTTTATGACTTTGAATACGCCAAGTGTGTGGACTTAAAAGTTCCTCTTTTCTTAATAAATTATGTTTGGGTTCGAATAGTCATAAGTTCCCATACACATACACGGTTTTTGCTTGAACTACTTCATTCAAGTGTTTGACTTACATAGTCACTCTCAAAATTTAATTATTTTTGGCTCATAATTAAGTTGAAGTGTTAACATTTTCTTAAGAGAATCAATACTATGAATATAACCGTAGATCCCTCCCCAAAACTTAATTAGCTTTGGCCAGCAGTTATAAACAAACCCAATAGAATACAAGTGAATAAATAAAATCATTAAAAAAAGTGCAGGGAGGCGAAAGAAAACTGGATGTCAACAAAATGCCTAGAAATCGAACAACTTCAGGAAAAATACGACACCTTTAATATTCATAAAAAAGTAAAAGAAATTACAGGTAGATACAAAATGAGATAAGCAACAATATTAAAAAATGATAATAACGAAATAATTCTGGGTGCAGAAGACAAACCAGAGAGATGGAAAGTCTTTTTGACGACGATAGACCTTGTTCTCCACCATCCATGCATAATCGAATAAATAAAAATGGCCTAGACATAAGAAAAGAAGAAGGGATTCGACGCAGTAAAATCTCAGAAAGATGAAAAAGCCACCGGTTCAGACTAATTACAGATAATGAAAATAAAAGCCTAGACTTAATAACATCACTATTCAATAAGATATATGACACAGGTAAAATACCAACAGACTGGCTAAAATCAACATTCGTAGCATTACCAAAAAAATCGAATTCCTCACAATGCGATGATTATCGAATATTAAGCGTGATGTCTCCTGTCCTTAAAACTTTTCTCAGAATTATCCATACACAAATTTACAAGAAATGCGAGTTCCAGATGAGTGACACTCAATTCGGATTTCGAAATGGATTGGGAACACGAGAGGCTCTTTTTGCTTTAAATGTGTTAACGCAACGATGCAGAGAGATGAATTTAGATGTATATTCATGTTTTATTGACTATGGAAAAGTATTTGACTGCGTTAACTCTCAAAAGATGATCGAAATTCTGAGAACAACTGGAGTTGACGAACAAGACTTGCGAATTATCTCAGAACTATACTGGCACCAAACGGCAACAATTGAAATAGAGCACACAACATCCGAAGATATACCAATCTGACGAGGAATGAGACAGGGTTGCGTCTTATCACAGCTACTGTTTAATTTGTATTTGGAGTCTATATTCAGAGAAGCATTAGACGAGGTCCAAGGCGGAATTAACATTAACGGAATCAGCATAGACAACATCAAATATGCTGATGATACCGTCTTAATAGCAAACAACGCACACGAACTACAAAATATAATAAATGTGGTTTAAAACTAAAACTTTAGTATTTTCAAAGACACCAATAAACATAAATGTGTATGCCAATAAAACAGGTAAATTCCATAAAATGTTTTGGAGCAAATATCAACAGTCAGTGTAATCCAGAAAAGGAAATACTATCAAGATTCGAACAAGGAAGGAGAACTTTCATGAGCATGAAAACATTTTTTACAAGATCAGAGTCTGCAGCTTAGAATCCGAATGATCAGATGTTACGTTTTTCTGTCTTACTGTATGGCTGTGAAAGTTGGACAATTGACTCTGAAATAGAAAAATGAATAGATGCCTTTGAGATGTATGTATACAGACGAATGTTGAGAATTCCATGACAGTTACTAATGTTGAGGTACTTATTCGCATGTGTAAACAAAAAGAATTACTAAGAATAATCAAAGAGAGGAAAATGCAATACTTAGGTCATGTGTTGAGAGGCGAAAAATATGAATTACTTCAAGTTATACTGGAAGGAATAAAGGGGCAAAAGATCAGTAAGAAGACGCCAGAACTCGTGGCTGAAAAACCTGAGGAGATTCGACTGCTTATCCGCAGAAATCTTTCGCGCAGCAGTTTCCAAAACTAAAATTTCCATTTGGATCGCCAACCTTCGAAAGAAAACGGCGCCATGAGAAGAAGTTTTCTTCATCTAAGGCATATATAAAATAAGAAAATAATTTTTATGACAATTAATTCGTTCTAAAAGCTTGGTCATTTTTTAAATAATAACAGCACACCTATGACTCGTCGATTTCCTTTCCCCTCAGACACGCAAAGGTCTACATTAAATAAATGACTCACTCGATACAATTGTGTTACTATGGCATAGTGATAGACACTATGTTGAATACCATTTTTACTCAATTTCCTCAAATATATTTGTTAAAAATATAGGCCTAACCAAACTTGACATTGACAATGTCAAACCATTCACGCAGGTCATTTAGCATGATGACTATGTTACTACTGAGCCAAATAAATAAGTGATAAACCCGAAAAACAATGCATTATCACAAAACACCAGCCGTCGTAGCTTACAGTAGCTCTTATTTTCCGTAAAATAAGTGTTTACACTACTTTTCCTAGTATTACAGTACCTTGAACCAGAGATATGATACAGGATAAATACCTCGAGTCAAAAATTTTAGGTTAATTTTGTAGTAATCAGAAGAAAGTACAATTTCACTTCAACTTTCTATAAATAAGTTCAATGTAACATTTATAATAAAAAATGTACATAAAAAATCACAATATCTACACTTTAACTAAACTTTTTTAACACCTTCTATCCCATACGTGATATAATATACAACAAATTTTGAAAGAAATAATTTTAAACAAACTATACACCACAAACATAGAAAAAAATAAACTCACCACTGGAATGCATTGAAGTGAAAGTACACCAATCCTATTCCATATAAGAAGGTTGTGTCCTGCCAGTGGTTTTCTGCTTGTGTCTTGTAGAACATCTGGTACGCAGATAACGCTAGAATAAAAATAGTATTGAATACACTAAAAAACAATTCCTAATGTTTAAGCAATGATATATGATGGCTAAGGTGTCTACGTTTGTAGTGATAGTCTATTTTATCTTCTCAGTATATCAATCTGGCAGCTTATAGCTTGACCACACAATGAAATTGGTCCCACTCTTTGTTTTATACATGTATATTCACATGGTAGTTATTTTTCTGTATTTACTATACAGCCTATACACATTTTTGAACAAAAAACGTCGACATAGGTGTTTTAAAGATAAAATGGTCAAATTTTAATATTTAAAAAATCAGTAAATCACCTTAAAATAAAAAATAAGTAAAGAACCAACTAAAATACTCCCATCACACTTTCGATATATGGAAAGATGTAACTGTGCATTGACGAAAACGATATAATATCCTTTTCTATCCATTTTCTCTTTGCTCTGCTGTTTTTTGTTTCTTTATACTACTTTCTAGTTTGTATATTTTTGCCACATATTATACGATATAACTGCTGCTCCCATGCCATCTGTTGACTTTGAAGCATCTGCATATATTTAAGAGAAATTTGTATAGTTTGATAATAAGTTTTGCAGATTTCAATGTATTATATTACGGTTAGTAGTAAGTTTGTCCAATGAAGGTAATGTGGTTATTGTTTTAAGTACTCACAATGTCCATGATTCAGCAGGTTCAAAACTAGTGGGAAAGCAACGAGGTAAGGTGGTGTTAAGAGATGAGAGATCCATTTTGATTAGGTGGTAGAAAGGTTTGTGTAGATGTGGTTTATTGGAGAAAAATGTAAATAACCCACTAAGGTGGTCATATTTGAATGTGTGATTAGGATTCGCATTTGATTTAATTGCATATGTTAACATTAAGTACATTTTTCTGTAATAGAGTGATGGTTCGGCTGCTTTGCAATACAGGCTTTCTATTAGGGTGGTTCTGAAAGCTCACAAGACAATGTATAGTGCAATATTGTGGATTGTATTTAAAATTTTAAGGGAGGACTCATAAGCCGATAAATATGCTATCGCACCATAGTCTAATTTAATTTAGATCTGATTAGTGTTCTGTAGAGGGGGAGCATAGTTTGTATAGTCTTGCATAAGTCTTGCTTGGCATTCAATTGCCAAGTTTTTAAGACAGAAAGAGATCATTTATTGCTATTAAAAAAAGTGTAGGGCTTAATATACAAAATACCATCCTCTAGTATTGCGACACATTTTTGATTTGCAATAAAAGCTTCAAGGATGTCAATGTCTAATAATAGATAGAATATTGTCCATTATTGACCATAGAACATGTCAAAGATATTTGTCTATATGAATTTGAATTACTTTTTAAATTGATTGGTTTTAAAATTGGTATAATAATAGATTCTAACCAATTTGATGAAAACTTATGTTGCATCCATATTAAATTAAATAACTTTGGTTACATTTATGTTTAGTTAACATATTTTTCTTCTCTCTATTTATACTTTATTTCTCTTCAATATACATTTATTCTTTCTGCACAGATATTTACATTAATTATATTTTCAATCTTCAAAATTTTTCGGTGTAGCTCCAAGAACTTCAACAACAGCTCTGTACAGTTTTTAGTAGGTATTTCATTGTTAATCGCAGTTGGTTTCTTAGTTATCCATAGATTTCTCCCACTGTTTTATTATTAATATATTGTTTCAGACATTTTGTTTCAGACAAAATATACTGTGGATGAATTTAACCACCATAATACTGTGGTATGCACAGTCTGTAGTAAAAACATGCTGTGCACCAGTCTTGTTTTTATAATTATAATTTTAGTTACTCAAATAATTGTAATTTTACAGTTACCTTTCCTATAGTCTTCTAACAACAAATGGAAATGCCCCAGCTTCACCCATGTTTTGGGATCTATACTAATGTTTTTATTTTGATTATTTGCATCATTTTCATTTGCTTTTTGTTGCCTTCTAGCTTGAACAACCATTAATTGAAGATACTTGACAGCCTAAAAATTAATAACAAATATTTAATTCCATTTTTCTTACTGCGTAAGTACTAACTAGCTAACAAATTGTTTAAAATAAGAATTAAAACCCTTCAAAAGATATAAATTTAAAATTAAAATGCCAAGAAAACAGTGAAAATGAGAATGGAAGTTAGAAAAATCTGTTTGCTTATTTCTTCTTATTGACCTGTGATCTAGACATAGAGATACTTAGCAGGATTGAGAAAGCCATAACAGCATTTACTAATATGAGAACCTTGCTAAGCAACAGCAGTTTTAACTTAATGCTTCGATTACGCTTTGTAAAATGTTACATTTACTCCATCCTGCTATATGGTATAGAAACCTGGACCGTAAAGGCCAATGTGATGAACCGATTGGAGGCCATTGAACTGTGGGTATTTAGAAGACTACTTAAAATTCCCTGGACAGATCACACAACAAATGTCAAAGTATTAAATCTAATGGGCAGAGAACAAAAATTGCTGCCAATAATAAAAACAAGAAAAACTGCTTATCTGGGTCATATAGTTCGAAATTCCAAGTACCAGTTCTTAAAAATTATTATGGAAGGGAAGATAGAAGGAAAACGGGGCATCAGAAGAAAGAAATACTTATGGCTTAATAACATAAGGGATTGGACAAATCTCGATGCCCATGCATTCTTTAAAACCACATAAGATCGAGAGGAGTATGCTAGAATTGTCGCCAACATCCATTAATTGGATAGGGCACCATAAGAAGAAGATTGACCCGTAGACAATGGATAGAAAATTGTGAAAAGAGGAGAAATACAAGAAAGAGAATATAGGTACAACTGAAAAATTATAAATAAGAATAAAAAACTAATTCATGTTATTTGTATAACTGGTGTCATCTATTGTGGGACCCTATACATTGGGGGCCTACTGTTTATAAAAAAGATAACAGTGTAAGTACTATATTTTAATGGCATATTACTGCTCAAAATATTATTTTATTAAAACAGACTTAACCTGAGATACAAATATTATTATATATTTTAGCATTCCTACATGTTTGTGTATTACCATGTAAAACAATTACTTACCTTTTGAATTAAAACCTTTTTTGAAGCATTTGCTTGTTGATTTAGTAGTAAAAATCCATATTGGCGGCTAAAATTAATAGAATTTTGTATTATTAATATGTATTACTAATATGTATATATAATCAAATAGGCCAATGTTTTATTTTATTCTTTAAGTACATATTTCTTCTATTCTTTCACATAAGATGACGAGGAATGGAAAACAAGGCAAAAAAGCTTTGAAAATAAAACAGAATATATTTGATAATGAACAGATTTGTTAAACATAAACATTTGTGATTAAGAGTTTAGCGTGAAATTCAAAACGCAGATGGAATTTTTACACTTGCTAGACAATTAGGAAATCCATCATAGTTTTATTTCACATTTGTTTTCATTCATACTTTGGTCGAAAGTTCTCTATGAAGTGTTAATATCTTATTCCTTTGTCTGTTTTGCTTTTGGGTTTGTCTTTATCATTATTTAATACCTTTTAAACCATTAACTGTTAGAACCTGAATTACTTGATGAAAAATTCTCTTCTTGCTACTTTTTAAATCCTCATGCCAAACACTTGCATAAACTAAATGTCCTGCTACTTGATTTTCATTTTATCACACTCATCTGCTTTTCTACCGAAGTGGTCTGTTGTTAATAGAATGTCAAATTGTTTATGAATTTAGTATGTGTAGTGTTCAATCATTTATAATATGTTTTTATTGTTGATCTGTTAAAAGTTTGTTAATGAAAAGTGATACTGTATTTTTAATATATCTAATGCTCTCACAAGCAAGAAAATAAGTAAAAGCTTATTTTCACAAGGCAATTGTTTACATTTAGGTTAGATTTGTGATAACAGCAGTGGAGTTTTGGTATTTTTATTTAAGAAGTTGGTTTAAATTAGAATAATAAAATAGGCTTACCTGTCCAATTCTGACAAAATATGTAGTTCTTGTGCAGTCATGGTAATATCATCAGGATCTTCAATATTATTATTGGTTTTGTTCATATTTGTAAAAAGTAGAATATACAACGTTTCAGCAACTTACAGACTAAAATCTATTTTTTATGATGTTAAGAGATTTGTCAACATCTTGCATTTCAAGTTTAATTATTAAGGCGGTAATGTATTAGTACTTACCAGAATAGATTCGATTTATAATTAAAATTAATTAGAGATATATAATCAATATATATATATATATACAATTACAATTTTCACAATATACATATAATTCAACAATAATTACAGAATTTAATATAAATATAACCCTATTTTCTTAAATCATGAGTAGTGACGTTTACTTTCATAACAACGTTGACATTTGATGTTTTTGACAAGTTGTACATGATTTTTTTAAATAATGCCAAATTTTGTACATTCTTAAATCCCGAATGTACGGAATGTTGTGTTTTAATCATTATTTTTATATTATTTAAACTTGTGAGACATATTTTATACTGGGTTAACTTTAACTAAAGTTCAAGCTGAATATAGCCGCAAATGTCAACCCATGGAACAAAACATTTTGGATTACCAGTTTCGGGATGTTTATGAATATGTTGTATGCTTCAAATAGAAAGAGAGGAACCTTTTAAAAAGTACATTTTGATTATATTATGTTATGAATTCTGCAATTTTTCAATTATATAAAACAATACCGAGTAAATATTTGTCTCTTTCGAGATTAATTGGAAACATCTTATAATAATTCGAGTCCACTCCCTCAGCAACCAGTTCATTATTTACACAAGTTTGTAGTTAGGCAATATACATTACACAAAAGTGTAAAAGTGTTGTTGTAGTAGTATTAAGAAATTTCAAAATATAAATGAAGTATATATACTAGAATTATTCGCTAACTACGTGGTTTAAAAAAGTAAAAGCAATTTTTTCGACCAAACATATTTTTCTGTTCAGTATAATTTTATGATTATTCAACACACTGATTTCAAGGATATTCAAATTGACAATGTCTTCAATATACCTACGTAGTTTAATAACGGTCACAGATAACGGTGTTTAGAAGCGATTACTAATTAGAAATTAAAAAAAATATCGTACTCCTGTGGCACTCCAACCGCCACGTGAACCACCACTCCTTTTACTACCACAATTTTCCTCTCTGATAGAAGGTTGGCTACCAAATTCATCAAGTACCTCATAACGTCTTCTCTCTCTTAAAGCCTTCATTACCTCTTTCTATTTTAATGTGTTAAAAGCATTCCAGATGTCAAACAATAGCAGGATCGCCCACCTCTGATTAACCCCTATCACGCGCAACTCCCGGAAGACTTCCAGCACCGCATCCACCGTGCTGACAGCTTGCCTGACTCTTTAATGACTGTGTCTATTCGCCCTCTTAGAAGCCTCTCGTATAATTTACCTACGCACGACATAAGACAAACAGGTCGATACATGTCTTCCCCCTTTGTTAGTAGCACCAGCCTCGAGATCTTCCAATCTGCCGAAAATCGCTGAGTTGCAAGCAGTGCATTCATGTGTTCCAAAAGCCACGTCGGCTCCATACTGCCAGTGTTTCAGAGCCTTTCGTATCTTCTTTTAACAATTCTAAAGTAAATGCACTAATTTATAAGAACATTGTAGGGACATTGTTATTGTTGAAAATTTAAGCACGGATAATACTACAGAAGATGAAATAGAACATTTAGATAACTTTAGCGACTTTGAGGAGGAAAATTAAAGTTATTTGAAAAGAGGACAAACCATTTTGCTACTAGAAATTTTTTGTTTTTATTTTTTTTGGACTTTTTTACTATATATGATGTTGATATTTGTATATAATAGCCAATGTACCCCAAAAAAGAACAAGAATCGAACAAGCGAGGAAAACACTCATGCATTTTTTTTTAATACGCAACTATACGAATTTGCAATTTTTTTTTATAATATATCTGACTAACAGTACTTTTTAGGTATCAGCAGCCCACACGATGTCTAAGATGCAAGCAATTCAAGAAGAGATGCCGCATAACAGCATTTGATCGCCTTTTTATATAACATTTGGCCATATATTCACACGAAACAGCATTCTACACAGCAGCAAAGGACAACAGAAAAATCATTGAGAGCGTAGAGAACTACCTAGAGAGAATCGCAGATTTCACGGATAAATGAATAATACAAAGAATATCAAATTTATCATATCTTCTGTATAATAGAGAAGTTATTATAAAAACTATCAATAACATCTACTAAAACTATTGACGACTTACAGAACCTATAGAAATAGGCAGCGGAATAAGACAAGGAGATTCATTGAGCCCCTTCTTCTTCTTTTGGCATCATAACCCGGGATGGGTCTTTGCCTGTCTGGCTATGTCCTTCCATTCAGATCTCTCTTGTGCCCTTCTTCTCCATTGTTTTATGTTCATTGTTTTCAGGTCGTCTTCCACGTCATCCAACCATCTCGTTCTGGGCCTTCCTTTTTTTCGCCTTCCTATGGGCTTCCATTGTAACATTTTCTTTGTTGTTTTTGCATCGTTTTGTGTCTGCGCATGTCCCAGCCATGACAATCTTTGAGTTTTCACAAATCTTACAATGTCATAACCTTCATTTAACTCATTAACCTCGTCGTTTCTCTCGATTCTCCATGTGCCATCTTTCTCTTGTACCGGGCCATATACTTTCCTCAGTATTTTTTCTCTCGAATGTCCTGAGTTGGGTTTCATCTTTTTTCGTCATTACCCAAGTTTCACATCCATAGGTTACTACGGGTCTAATCAGTGTTCTGTAGATAGTCATTTTGATTCTTTTGTCTAATAATTTCGATGTCATCAATCTTTTATTAGCATAGTATGTATGATTCCCGCTGGAAATACGTGCATTAATTTCGCTACTTACAGAGTTCTTCTGATTGATTTCTGTGCCGAGATATGTAAAGGAATCCACTCGCTCGATAGTATAGTTGTCTATTGTGATATTATTTTTATTGTCAGTTATTCTTTTGACTGTCATATACTTCATTTTTGCTTCGTTTATTTTGAGACCTCTTTTTCTTGCTTCAGGATAAATTTGTTTAAACACTTCCATTAGTCGTGGCTTATTTCTACTAATAATGGCTACATCGTCTGCATATGCAGTAATTTGTACTGATTTGGTGTTTATATGGCCGGTTATATTGGTTTTTCTGATGACTGCCTCAAGAACTAGGTTGAATAGCATGGTTGATAAGGCATCTCCCTGTCTTACTCCCATGTTGATGTTAAACAGGGGAGTCAGTTCTCCATCTACTCTGACTGCAGCTTTTGAACCCTGCAACGTCATTTTTATGAGGCTGATGTATTTCTTAGATATACCTAGATTACAAAGGTCTTCCAGCATTCTGTCTCTTTTCACACTGTCGAAAGCTTGTTTAAAGTCTATATACATATTATATAGGTCTATGTCGTATTCATAAGCTTTTTCTTGTATCGTTCTTAGTATAAATATGTTATGTGTAGTGGCTCTATTTGGTCTGAATCCATTTTGATAATCACCAATTATATTTTCGGAGTATTCTAATAATCTATTGTAGATTATACCAGAAAGAATTTTGTATATTACATTTAGCAATGTAATTGGCCTATAATTCTGACATTCCATCTTATCTCCTTTTTTATATATGGCTGTATGAGGCCAACTGTCCATTCCTCTGGCATTTGCTCCTTCGTCCATATTAATGTTATTAGGTAATGGATTCTTTCCCAGAGTTCGGATCCTCCATGCTTTAATAATTCTGCCGAAATTCCGTCCGTTCCTGGTGCTTTATTGTTTTTTAGTTTATTTATTATCTGAACTACTTCTTCATAACTCAGATTTTCGATGTGCAGCTCCGCCGTATAATATATTGTCTCGTTCTGATCATTGTCGTTGTCTGCATTTAGATTTTCTTCCAAATATTGTTTCCATCTCATTATAATTTTTTGCTTTTCTGTTAGTAGTTCTCCGTCCTTGTCTTTGCATATCGTTAGTTTGGGTCTAAATGACTGTGTGCTTTCTTTTATGCATTTATAGAATTTTCTGCTTTTACTTCTGTTGTTATGCTTTACGATTTCTTGTACTTGTTTTTTCATAGCCTCTCTTTTCTTTCTTCTGCATGTTCTAGTCACTTGTATTCTTTTTTCGTTATAAATCTCACTGCTATTTCTTGTGTTTCTTTGAAGTTGGTTAAGCCTAGCTTGCCTTTTTTCCTCTACTGCAGTTCTGCATTCATCATCATACCATTCCGCATTTCTTTACCTTTTGACTTTTCCGACAGTTTCCTCTGCTGACTCCGTTATAATTGTTTTTAATTGTCTCCATTCCTCCTCTGCAGTATCTTTCTCTCTAGTTCGGTTGAGTTTTATTTGGAGAGCATTTCTGTAATCTTGTCTCTTTGTTGCGCTTTTGCATCCTTCGAGCCCCATGCTCTTCAATTTGATAATGGACAAAATCAACAAAACCGTTAACAACGGAAATTCACAAGATTCTTAACAAGATAAACAAGACTTAACTTCACAAGAAATAGACAAGTCATCACGTGGAAGAAATGAGTGGTGAAGTAGATGATACAGGACCAGTTCTTTATCACAGATCAAAAATATATTAATTAAGCCAAGATTTCGTTAGAGCGGTAATGTTGTACGCAGTCCAAATATGGAATTCCACGGTAGAAAATAACACCAAGCTGTAAAAAATAGTGACGGCGAGTTACAGGCTGATCGATGAAACGCAATGGCAAAACAGAGTTACAAATACAACCATCCAAGAAAAGCTCCAGACATATCATCATTATCACTAACAGGGTGTAGAGATTTTTTTGAGAGAAACATAGACGATTGACCATCTAATCATAGTATTGCCAGGGAGATAGCTGAAAACAGATGTTATTAATTAATTGAATTAATTAAATATTAGATTACCATAATAACCACCCAAATAATAAAATAATGATAAACGGTAAGCAAGTTGAAGAGTTAGACAAGCTCACATATTTGGGATCAGTCATGGAAAGTTGGAAATTAACGGGGGGTGTAAAAAGGATATACAGACGAGAATAACGAAGGCTCAACTTGTATTCAACGCTTTACGCTCATACGGCTGCCTCTCGGCGTTTCATATGGACACCACTCCCTAATTTTCTTAGTAATGACCATGTCTGTTTGCTTGGTTTTCGCGAAGTGTAGACTTTCTACTGTTTCGGTCCACTTTTGGCTTCTAGCGGCGTCTAGGCTGTACAGTAGTTCTTCCGCTATTTCTTGGTCGCCAGTCAACAATCTAATGCCTCCAGCCCACATCGGCAGGACACACTACCGAAGCTGACCACACATCTGGACACATCTGTAAATCGTTCAGTCTGTATTAATTCACGGGAGATACAATATTTACACGAGCATTAAAAAAAAATGGATGTTGATATCATAACTGCCGCAGCTATATGCCGAGAGAGATATGAAAAAAAAGAAGTCAGAGGTCAGATGTGAGGAAAGGCGTCGAACGTCCGACCGAAACCCTTTGATCTGTGCTGAAAAAAAACGACAATAATCGGATATCTTGCAGACGCCTCTGCGGACGTGATATATAAACAACAGATGATCAAATTAGCCCATCAACACATCTCCAAATGCATATAGATGTCGTCCGCGGACGCGTCTGCCGATATGTAGAGGAGCCATTACACTTATGGCCAATAAATGCATAAATGCCTAATTCTCCACAAGGAGAAATAGAACTAGAGAGAGAGAAATTTTAGATATTATTAAAGCAATATATGTTTTTATATTTGTTTCTTTTTATTTTTTATATTAAAACTCTTTGTTTTAATCTTTGTAGTAGATAGTTTGCTATCAATTACAAAATTATTATACAAAAAAGGAAGCTGTAATATTCTGCGTAAGATTATAATTAAAGTTTTTTTAAAGTAAAGGCACAACACATTTCTATATCGATCATGATTACTCACTCATCGCGAAAATATCGTTGGCCCGCATTTCAAATGGTAAATAACTATAGGGAAAAAACCCGGTATAAACTAAGAAACTATGGCAACACGGCTTTACGCATGGTTAGTACGTTTTTCCAAATCTCATGCTTGCCGCTTGCGCTCCAGATCGCCGTCGGTTCAGACTTGACGCCGCGCGCCCGTGTATCTGTTACGAAACGTTTCCCTGTAATATCGACCGCCAAACAACAATTACTTCCAGAAATCATGCTCTCAAATCGGTTTTTAAGTTGTTTAAACCGGTGCCAGGTGAGAAGTCAGTTTGAGCAATGGATATCAATTCATACTATTCGCATGTCAGGTTTTCACACAAACCGCAAAAAAGTAAGTGGTCACTTTTTATCATTTCCCAGATAGTTTCTAACTTTGCTTGTTTTTTTCAGAATGATATTGATCAAACACGAGCTATTATTAACAGACAAAGGTACTCAAATTGTTATTTTACTCTTATTTGTTTGTATTTTAAATATAGGTCAACTAGCTTGTAGGTTTCATTCAAAAATTATAACTTTTAGCTAAATGCAAAGATCCTGAATACCATTACTATAATATTGCTCTAATTAATATGTATCTATTTTAAATTTACTATAACTATAAACACTAACATCCAAACTTGACGTTCATGTAAAAGCTGTAGATGATAGTTTTTATGCAGTAGACCATCGTATTTTTGAGCAATCTTTAATGTGTTTAGATGTTTTCCGGTGTTTTTGTCTATTCTTATTCCTGCGTATCCTGCATATATATTTGATATTAAAACCATTTAAAATTCTTTTTATAATTGGTCTTTTGAAACTTTCTTGTTTCTCCGTGACTCATATGGCTTTCGAGCCGTTCTAATATGTCATTTTATGAGTCTCGTTTCTTTTTTCGGTGTATGCGTTTTTCCTCTCTCCTTAAGTTTTTGTATCTATCTATCTATTGTTGTCCTAGTTTTCCGTTGTTGAATGGTCCTAAATGCCTCGTTCTTTTCATCTGTTATTTTTTTTGCAGTCTTGGTCGAACCAGTCGTTTCTTTCTTGGGTTCGGGATATTCCCAATGTGATTTCGGCTGTTAATTTCAGAGCCTCCTTTCAGTTGTTCCACATTTACTTGCTTGACTGGTTGACTGCCCAGGTGTGCTCTAGGGTTTCTTTTATATGTGACTGGAACTATTTCTCTTTGTTTTCATTTTTTAGCACATATAAATTATATTTTACTTGTCTAGTGCCACTTTCTTTCTTGGCGTTGAAAATTCTTTGTCGTAACTTGGCTCCTACCATAAAATGGTCTGAGTCCATATTTGCGCCTCAGTAACTTCTGACGTCCATTAGGTTTGTAAAGTGCCTTATTTCATTTATAACTTGGTCAATTTGATTTGTGGTGTGTCCATTTGGTGATATACAAGTTGCTTTATGGATCATCATCATCAACTAGCCTCTAACGTCCACTGCTGAACATAGGCCTCTCGCATGCTTTTCCACTTAGTCCGATTTTGCGCCACCTGAATCCAATTTGTAGTCAGTCTTTTTATGTCATCTGTCCATCTCGTTGGAGGTCGACCTCTATTGATATTCTTATGATTATTCCGCTTTATGGATATTCTTATGATTAAAACATGTACTTCCCACAATTAAATATTTGGAAGCTGCCATACTAATAAGCCTTAAACCATTATTAGTCATTAGTAACGTCGTGAAGGCTGTGAATATAATCTTGGTAGCATATCTCTTTTTCTATCTGGGCGTTCATGTCTCAATGATTATTTGGACTACACAGCCAATGTACTATTGGTTCTTTTTCTTCATATTTGTACAATATTTTAAGGTCATTTCGCAGGAATTCTGACTATTCGAAGAAATATTTTAGTTCGGCATTTTTATAAAAAATAAATCTATAAACATGTATGTTTAAGGTATGCCCAATTAACAGTGATTTATTATTCTCTCTCAATACCAAATAAAGTTTTATCCGTCATAAATATTATCTTCAACATTAGCTTTATTACTTTGTTATCTCGACGAAGAGATTTGTCCTTACATGCAAATTATTTTATATTGTTAAATCACTTCAGTTAACAAAAACGAAGGGAGCTGTTATTTCGCTCGTAATTTTATTAGTTAATTATTCTTTTAAAATACACCCAACTGTATTAATTAATTTAATAATGTTGGTAGCTTATCAATTAGACAAAACAAATACAAAGTTTTTCAATGGAGGTAGAGTTGCAGCTGAGTTATCTAAATGAGACTTAAATGTCAAGTTTTTGTGATTAAAAAACGATTGATGACTGTTGAACTATTCAGTTAATAATAGAAATATAATAGAGTTGTCCCTGTAAAGATATTAGTGACCGGTTTCTTAAAAAAATAATATTTTTTATTTTTTTTTTAATAAATCATTGAAAAAGATTAAATATATTTATTGACGCTTAAGTATAAACAATATATTGTTTTTAGAGCTTATATACGAGCCCTTTCCAAATCAGTTCGCCCAACGTTAGGTTGATAAGAAAATCCATTTTTCCTTCAATTCGTTGACGGAACTGGCAGTATGTCTCAAAGCTTTTTTCATTTCCCGCCACAAAGTCTCTACCGGGGACTGTTAGAAACTTATTCCGTAAGTGGTATGCTATGGTCTTCAATCCATTTTAAATTCTTTTTAGGTATCACAACCTGCGCCGTCCTCTTGGAAGACAAAATCTTTCGCTGATGTTAAACGATGTTCCATAATCAGTAAAAGAGAGTCTTCTAAAATATACAAATATTTGCCCATGTTTATAATCCCATCGATAAAATGAACTTTCCCACACCTTTAGACGATATGCTACTGTACTTGCTACATTGGTTGAAGATTCTTGTTTTTAAATATTGGTATTTTCTATGTTTTAGTATATAGGAAAGTTTTTCGAAGGATACCCAAGCCAACCGTATCCTTCTCTTTATTCCTCCAGTCTGATTTTCTTTATTTAAGTTAACTAGTTGTCCCAAATATACATATTCTTTTACTTGTTCTATAGTTGTTTGTGTAATTGTATTATATTGTATTATATGTTATTGCTTGATCATATATATTGGAAATTAAGGCCGTATATCTATAGTCTATTCTCCCATTTTGTAAAGAGTTCATTACTGCCCAATGTTCCACCTTATCGAATGCTTTTTCAAAGTCTACAAATGCCATATACATTGGGATGTGATTTTCGTTGGCCTTTTCAATTAATATTTTTATCGTAAGCAGATGGTCGCTTGTACTGAATCCTTTTCTAAAACCGGCTTGCTCTCTTGACTGTTTAATTATCTTAGTTGTTAATCTGTTTGTTAGTAGTTTAGTTAACAGTTTGTACATTACATTAAGTAGCGTTATGGGCCTATAGTTTTTCAGATATTTTCTATCGCCTTTCTTAAATAGTAATAGTGTTATTGCCTCGTTCCATGTGGTGGGTATTTGTTTTGTGTTCAATATATTATTCATTAGTACATAAAGGACTTCCACTGTAGTTTCCCCCCATTTTTTAGGATTTCCACAGCTATTGCATCTTTCCCAGGAGATTTGTTATTCTTCATTTCTTTGAGTACCTTTTTTATTTAATTTTTACTGATTTCTGGTTGTAGATCACAGTTAACGTTCTTTATTTTCAGTTGTATCTGATTACGGATTTCTTGGGTTGGTTTTTGTTTTGTTTTATAGAGATTTGTATAATATTCGTGCGTTATCTGTAAAATTTCTTTTATATTGTTGGTCTCCACTCCTTCTTTGTTCTTTATGCTATTAATTTGTATGTTTCCCAAGTTCTGCTTTAAGCACTTCATGTTTCTATTTTTTTCAACTGTTTTCTCTATCTTTCCTTCCTGTACTCTCCGTTTGCACTCCTTGATATTTTTTCTAATAGTTTTGTTTATTTCTTTGTATTCCATTTTAATTCTGTCCCCTTGTTCTAGTAATGTTCTTCTTGTGTTCATAAGAATCTTTGTTTCCTGGGATATGAAACTTTATTTTTTGTTGTTGTCTGTGCTAGTTCTTTACCCACTTTCATTAGAGTTTCAGTAAATATCACGTTTATTTCATTTTTCAATTTCCTTTGATTTTTACGTAGTCACCAATCTGTAGATCTTCTATGTCTTCTTCACTTGTAGATAGGTACTCTGTTTTCGCGAGGTTAATATCTAGGCCAGCCTTGGTATATCCTTCTTGTAATTTCTTCATCATGTAGCTGAGGTCGTCTTGGTCTTGCACATTCTCTACTTGATCGTCTGCAAAGCCTAACGTATATACGTATTCGTTCCGTACCGGTATTCCCATGTCTTTGCATTTTCTTTTCCATGTAGCCAAGTATATTTTGAATAGGGTTGGAGATGTGGAACAACCTAGCAGGGGCCCTTTTGTTGTGGTGAAGTCTCCTATGATTCTTGGTCCCACTTTAATGGACACTTAATTTTCTTTATATGTACACATCGGTTTAGAACGTATTTCGGCGTTGTCCGATACCTAAACACCATCTCTTCCTATCTTCGCAGTCGTTTGTTGTTAAATTTATTTCGCTCATGGACTTTTGGGGAGTCTTTTTCTAATACTTCTTTGGGGAGTCTTGTTGCTGGCATCCGTTGAACATGCCCATACCACCTTAATTGTTTCTTCTCTATATCTTGAGTTATATTTCCTTCTATTCCCATACGTTGTTTTATTACATAATTTCTGATCCGGTCTCGTCTGGAAATACCTGAAGATCTTCTCATTGCATCCATCTCTACTGCTTCTACTCGCTTTTTGTTTTTTTTACTAATTCTCCATGTTTCAGCGCCATAAAGAAGAGTAGTTTTAATTATGGTCTCATATATATTAAATTTTCTTCCTTTGCTTGAGTGATTCGTTTTTCTATTTCCCGTGTATCAGTTCCTGTATTGTCAAAGGCAACACCCAAGTAGTCATAGCTCTGACAGCAGGAAATATGTTGTCCGTTTTCGAAGTCTATGTTATCTGACTCGTTTCCAATACAAAGATATTTGGTTTTTGTTGTATTGACATTCATTCCCCAGTCGTTATATTCTTCTATCAGTTTTCTAAGCATGTACTGCGTGTCTTCCCTGTCGGTCGCTGGTACTACCTAGTCATCAGCAAACTGGAGTGTATATATACATTCACTGCTAAGCTCTATACCCACCCTATGCACCTTTTTTCCATCTTTCCAATGCTGCTGCAACATATATCTTGAATAAGGTTGGTGAGATACAGCATCCCTGTCGCAAGCCTTTTGTACCCAGGAATTCTTCCGTTAGATATTTTCCTGTTTTTATCTGTGCCTTTGAGTCTCTATATAGTTCTTGTACAGCATTTATCTATGTGTGGTTGATGTTAGATCTTTTCAACGTTGTCCACAATTTTGTTAAGGAGATGAGATGCTTTTTGCAGGTCTACAAAAGTAATATGAGTTTGTAGATTCTTAGC